GCAGAGGGATTACCTAACCTTTCTTTGGACTGTTCCAGGTACATTGTCTGTAGAGGGATTACCTAACCTTTCTTTGGACTGTTCCAGGTACATTGTCTGCAGAGGGATAACCTAACCTTTCTTTGGACTGTTCCAGGTACATCGTCTGCAGAGGGATTACCTAACCTTTCTTTGGACTGTTCCAGGTACATTGTCTGCAGAGGGATTACCTAACCTTTCTTTGGACTGTTCCAAGTGTATTTGCCGTCAGAGGAATGATTTACTCTTTCCTTGTGCTGTTCCAGCTACATCAGCAGTAAAAGAATTATTTGTCCCATCGGAGAATAAAATTTAAACCCATTCAAATTTCGGAATGATAGCATTGATACTTTGCATTTGTGCCTAAACAACAAACCAAGAGCAGCATACATTCATACGTTTCATACATTCAGTGATTCACCTCATCCGCAGAACTAATATCAAAGTGGTTCAACAGTTACGGCTTTCCATATTTCAACAGCGCACAATCGTATCTGTATGTAGTCTTGTGATGTGTTAAAGATCAATAAAGTGAATATAAACTCCACAGATTAAACTGGAGGCATGCATCAACTCGGCATTTGTGAATTGTAAGATATAACGTATTTGTCATATGTATAGATATATTCAAGAATATTGATTTGTTTCGAAATCGCCATGACATAAATTAATTTGTCGTGTGAATATTAACATCGAAGACGTCAGTTTTGTTTCAAATCGCAGCGACGTACAGTTATTTTAAATGCACTCAGAGCAACAGCTATATCATATGTAAATGCACGCGAAAAGTTTATTTACCGACGAAGAAAATATTATTATTCAAGTTTCTTTTACATGCGCAACATATCCGTCCATAATGCACAAAGAGGTATAGATTATTTTATTAAAAGCCCGACATTATATTTAAAAGTAATCGATGAATTTCAAAAAAAAAGATCTTTCTGAGAGTAATCTATCATTTACCTGTATATATTTACTTTGTTATGTGTGTAATATTGATATTATTGCTTTACACATTCATGCAGAACATCCATTTTAAAGAGATAAGATTGATTTTCAGCTGATCATTATGTTATGAATTTTTAACTTACAGATCAGAGTTACAGTCAGGTGTGACGATTGGAGTTCTGACCCTTTATACATTTACAAAAATATTTCATTTGCTTTTGTTTTAGGAAGATACTGAGAATACCATTAAGATAGGATAAAGAATATTGTCATTGATCAGTCTTTCATGAGAATGTCATTGTTACATTATTATTGCTAAGATGTCCAACACACTGGTATACTTCATGTACAAGTATATATCACAAACACATGACCACACCTACCTTGTACTAGGGATGAGAAGAGTACCTGGAGCATCATTCCTACATGTACCTCCAAACTAAAGAGTTCCATTCTGATGTTACCAATTCAAAGGGTATCGGGGCATATGTCAACTGTCCCCTTAAATTGTCACTCCAACCCGCCGATCAGTGACATAGTTTATCGATCGTTTCGATTTACTTATCCAGACTCATTTTAATATATATAAGCTTTGTCATAAGTTAGGGACCGTTAATTTCAATATGAAATCTATATAAAGAATGGTTGATCATTTTGTGACTATAAACCTTGTCGCACTCTTTGCAGTGTCTCCATTTGCGCTGCTAACATATGGCACAAAGAGATACAATCACTTTTCATTGGAAACTCTTATTTTTGAAAATCTATGAATTCTTAACCAAGTAACGCAAGATCGAATATTTCAAAGTAAATGACTGTAAGTCACTGAACGTTGGCATATGAATAAGACTTTCGTGATTAGATTTTCATTAGAGAAAAAATGAAGAAAAAAACGTGCAACGGTCAGTGAACACCATTAACCTCAAAACAAACCAAACTTTCATGAAAATATAAATGATTTGTTAAACCGTTTTGTTTATCTCTGAAACTATCCTTGAAATGTCGAATATCAGTGTTGTGGCCTCAACTGACTTACAGACCGTCAGATAATGATAGATGATACAGATAGTTACGAACTTTATTTCCAGTGTACAAATGTAAACAGCTCTAATTAATTTCGGGAAGTTCGATTCTAAACATGTCATTGAGTGAAACATGCTATTATTTCCTTACTCTTTTGGACCACCTGGTCTTATTCTAGTACTTTGTGTCAGGATCATCCGTGTAAATTCTTCTTTTGTTTACATTTTTCATTAGTTGCATTGAATATGTGTTTGGATTATGATTATGTTGACATGTTGGTATTTTCTTGTTGTCATTTGTTCTCTTGTTGTAAAGTTCTCTTTACTGATAACGTAGACCTGGCCAATAATGTGGAGTGTGTCAATATACATAGCTTAGGTGTAAAAGACTGAATGTAAAACATTAACCTAAGCAACAGCAATATCACACGTAAATTCACCAACAAAGAAAATAATATTATTTAAGTTGTTTTTACATGTGCAACACACCTACCCTATGATGCAGCAAAATGGTATAAAATATTATAATAAAAGCTCGAGGTTATATTTAAAGTCATCAATGAATTTCAAAAATGATCTTTGTAAGAGTAATCTAATTTCTACCTGTATATATTTACCTTGTTATGTGTGTAATATTAATTGTATTGCTGTACACATTTATGTGGAAAATCCATTTTGAATAGTTAAGATTGTGTTTCAGCTGAACGTTTTGTCATACATTTTTTACATACAGATTACAATTACGATCAGTTAAGAAGATGTCACCGTAAAACTAGAGCCTTGTTCCTTGCAGCATTTACAAAAAATATTTCATTTGCTTTTGTTTAAGGTAGATACTGAGAATACTATTAAGATAGGATAAAGAATATTGTCATTGATCAGTTTATTCATGCGGATGTCATTGTCACATTCTTATTGTTAAGATGTCCAACACACTGGTATACGTCATGTACAAGTATATATCACAAACACAAGACTACACCTTCCTTGTAATAGGAATGATAAAAGAAGTACCCGGAGAGTCATTCCTACATGTACCTCCATACCAAAGAGCTCCATTCTGGTAGTACCAGTTCAAACGGTATCGGGACACATGTCATCTGTCCTCTGAAATTGTCACTCCTACCCGCCAATCAGTGACGAAGTCTTTCGATCGTTACGGTTTACTTATCCAGACTCATTTTAATATATATAAGCTTTGTCATAAGTTAGGGACCGTTGATTTCAATACGAATTTTTAAATATCAACCTTGTCATTCTCCTTGCAGTGTCTCCTTTTGCACTGGTACCGTATGCTACAAAGAGATATATCCGACTTAACGATAACATGAATTTCAAAGTATGAAGTCAGGCAGTCGGCAGTGGAATAGAAAGAAGGAGCAATTCTGTAAGATCTTTTACTTTTAGAGAGAAGTTTATGAATTTGCTTACATAGGGTGGATCAAGTAGCATGATGAATACAGACTTGCATGGTATACAGTCATGAGCAATGTTTAAAATTGTCTGTCATATATATATTTTTTTTTTTTTTTTGTCGTTCGGTAGTATCTCGTTAAAAAGATTGTCTGCTATAGGGATCATAGTCACCACCGACAAGTATTACGCTTTGTACAGTTTGTTGAAATGGTGCGAGGTTTCCTATGACGAAATAAGCCACAATTTTGGTAATGATGTTGGATGTTCTCTTCAATACCAGTATTATACGCTAAGTACAGGATAGAATGCTCAATTAGGTCCAAGTAATTAATATTGCAGATCAAAGTTCAAAATCTCAATTCAAACACATTCGGTATAACCGTTCATAGGAACAAGTAATTGCAAAATACCATGCCCAGTTAGCGTTCGAACTTATGTCCACTCGAGCTATAGCCAAACACACAAGCGCTCTACTAAAGAGAAATTCCCATTATCTGAAGCTAGTAAGTCTACCTGTACAATCTCAATCGCATATAGCTTCTACCCTTGGAATGGCCAAAGGCACCAAATCTGTATTAGGAAGGAGTAAGAAAAACACCCTGTCCCCGCTGGAGTTCGAGCTAGCGACCCTTCGATTCTAGGTAGACATCATAGTATTCGTTTTAAGGGAAATGAATTCCCACTATCGGAGGCTAGTAAGGTGACCTTGACACTCAACGTCTTTTGGCATGTAATTTGTCTAGGAACTAAAAAGCCACTATTAACTTTTCAATCTGCTAGCCAGTTAAACATGTTTCAGTTGAAGACAAATTACCGAAATTATATAATTCAATCAAATGATCAAGTTGAAGTCGCAGTCTTTAACATGAAATGGGATATAACTGTTAAGAGTTGAAAACCTCATTAGAGAAAAACGATCGTTCTGAAAACGAGGAACCTAGATTAATACTAAGTCGCCGCTGTGATAGAACAAGACTGAAAGGGAAACGGAAGGAGTGGAGGTGGAAATAGCTTCTTCTGTGAAAATAATGGATAGTGGAAAATGGTACGATTGGGTTATTTGTACCACTATTTGTTTTAATTTGAACATTGTTTTATGCCATTGAAACATATTGTAAAACTATATGCATAAAATAGGCAAAATATTTAATATTGGATATATTTGGTGATTGCATGATTATAAATGTCGTAGCCACAGCTAAAGATCAACCTTTCATTGCACGATTTTGTTCAATACTTACTAGCATTATGTGATTCTAGGAGAGAACATAGAGAAAATTCATGTGAGGATATAACCAAACATGCAGATAAGCCAAGTATCCAAGTTTAATAATGTGAGTGGTGAAAAAGGTGAAAACTGGAAACTCAACACATGAAGAAATTATGATAACGGTAACGCGCGTTTTAATGATACAGCTTAGTGGTGACTTAAGAGGAAAAAAGCAAGGATTACAAACAGTAAAAGTGATCATTCTTCGTCATATGTTGACTGATAAATAGTAGCAAATAAAATTCTATCTTACAAAGATACATTAAAATTCTGCTTATGTAATGGATTTAAGTTACAACTAATTCTAACAAATACTAATTCTGTTTTATAATGCATTTATTCCCATTAAACGTTACATACAATGACAATATACAGAGTAAGAGAAGGCACCAATATACATCATTGAATACATCTCCGATGTGTTACAAAGCAAAAGGTTTAGATTGAAATCTGAAAACAATATGTTGCTACAGGTAAGTTTTACAAATGTAATTTGTGCAGATGTTTTGACAAAGAGAAGCTTACTGTTAGAGAAACGCGCCATTGCCTTGTCATCCAATCAAATCCATCTGGTAGTGATCTCAGTCACGACGCCGTGCAGGTATTAATATTTTAGAACATTGATATAGATTTGAATATAGTACTAAAGACACACAAGTGAATAGCACCTTTCAATACAAAAGCAGAATTATATACAAAAGAGACAAACAACGAATATAGTTCATCATACAGCTTTTTCGTCCTTTTAGGACTGACCAGTGATACCAAGGTCTGTTAATTTTGAAGGGGCGACTGAAGAAAAACAAAAAAGATCAAAAGAGGTAAATCTATATTAAAATAAATTTATAAATATACGTATATCTTAAAAACATATAAAAATATAAAATAGAGAAAGAGACCTGTAACAGTCGATAACACTTAAGCGGTTAAATATGTCGGGGATGCCACTAAGTAATTAAGATGATCTGTAGCTTTATAACATACATTAGTGACAACATCTTATAAGTTCAATATATATATATTCCAAAATGGTATTCCTTTTTACTACAATCCCTTGTATAATTTAAATCTAGGTTTAATTCATTTAGAATTTTGAAAATTTCTTGAAGATCCTTATCCGATAGCCAAATTATGAAATAGTCATCCAAAAAATCTTTTATATATTTGTAGGTGAAGTTTTTTACGCGTGCCGTTTGAGATGTCTACACTTAACACATAATAAAAAGTATATTCATATACAAACAACAAGAAAGTCCTGGTAGTGTTAACAAAACAGTTATCGATGAATTGATGAAACTAGCCAGTAACAGAATGTGTCACCAGGTTGCGTAAACATTGATAAACATGCCGACCTAATCTTGGCAAGCAGATATCCTCTGATTGAAAATATTCATTTCTACATTTATCCTAAATCAGCGTGAACGGCAACATCTTAATTTTATTATTTTTCAGGTAATATTTGTTTAGTCCTTTAAATGGCTCACCAGCATCCGGCACAAAAATGTGTCCCAAAAATGGACAGTAACCATCGACAATTTTCGGGAATCTTCGCAAACAGTTTGATACAATAACCAAATGCAAAACGGTTATGTATATCACCAAAATATGTAGATCCCGACACTGGTAATAGATTGTTCAGTCTTAGTTGATTTTGTTGGATTTTATTTATCGAAGGTACTTGTGTAATTGTTGTTGAACTACAAATTGCAAGTACATAACCACACAACATACTAATTGCAATAATATTTTTACATCCAAAATAGTATTACCACACAAATAATCCCCAGTTGTTAACAATTAATTCTGATGTAACCGCAAAACTCAAGGGAACGACCTTATAAGTATTTAAACGCATATTCAGTACATTCTTCAGTAAACATAAAAATAATTATTAATAATAATTAATGACATACATTGTACATGATAACACGAAACAAATGTTTGTGAACTATAGTTTTAGAAGTTACTGAAACGAGAAAAAGACGACATTTTAATTAATTAGTTTCGTAATTGTATTTCAACAAAATTTGTAATAAATAGTTTGACATGAATAAAATCTTAATGATGAAGTCGACAGTGCCTTAAACGATAATTTAAAATGGTACACCAGGCGTTGTTTGGTCCTAGTGTAATATACTATTGTTATTTGTTTTATTGTTTCATCAGAGGCAGCATCACTGTTGTATAACAAAACGAAACAGTAAAAAAACATCACTATCACAGTGATGCTGTATAGGTGCGTGATTATGAATGTATTGCGTTTCAAGAATGTTCAAAGGAATGTTAATACAGAACCGTGACCTAGATAACAAAATAACCACCTAGTACATGTAACTAAAGTAACAGGATCTCATCATAACATACCTTAAATAAAGAAATCTCGTTTTTCAACAATATTTTCATTTCATTTTGTTGTTTTCAAGAAAACAATACATCCATTATGGTATTTATAAAAATATAGGAAAATAGGAAGTGTTTGTATTTGCGTCTTATAAGGACGGTTGAGTTTTGAGAAGCATTGTGTGTGTGGATGTGGGTGTGTGTGTGTGTGTGTGTGTGTGTGTGTGTGTGTGTGTGTGTGTGTGTGTGTGTGTGTGTGTGTGTGTGTGTGTGTGTGTGTGTGTGTGTGTGTGTGTGTGTGTGAAGAGAGAATAAAGATTGTCAATACAAACCCTTTTCAACATAATAATAATTTGTTGATACCAATGTGTTTAACTCGTCATTCCTTAATTTTCTTAACGAAAAATATAAAACATAGACACTTGTTATCAATTAGCCTCGTGTAGTTGTAAAGCAGATACAAATATTGATTATAATTCTACTTGTACGCAGAAACTGTTTTTCACAACAAACGATTCTATTGATAAATCGTCGCCTGGTGGTATAAGAACGTAGTTGTAGCTGACGTTCCGATCTATTGTAAAATATTACGGCAGAACCATTGGGTCTATCACAACTCTGACCAAATCATGTAAATGTGTTAGATTTTCACTATACAACCTCCTGATCAACTCAATGAATAAAGGGAGATAAGCATTGATAATTTGTTGGTATAGATACTATAGTAGAAAAGCGTACTTGTCACATCATATCTTTGAAATCTTACCGAGCCATTTTATCAAACTGGCTGCAGGCGTCAGTTTATAAAATTTCTTAAAGGTGATATTCTGTATATGTTGGTGACTTTTCTTTGAATATGCAGGCAATGTTGATATTCAACTTTCAAACACTATGCTAAATGTCTTCGTTACATTCGTACATTATCTATCGTTTCCATTCAAGTTGTTTTGATGTTCCCGTCAATTCTTCTCAAAGCAGAAAGAACAATATACACATTCCAACCATGACTATGACGTTACACAGACTGCGTGAGGCGGCGTTCCCGTCGGTCGTTGAATCTCCGTCTAAATGGGATAACAAAAATCTAATTACAATCGTTGTCCAGTATATGTATCAATACACACGCTTTAAAACGGTCATTGCAATATAACAGATACAGAATGCTTTATGTACATATATGAATTAGTAAACAAAGGTAAACATCAAACAAATACATAGCATAGGCAAACTTGTAAATGACATAGCCTAGATAAACAACTAGATTCCATAGCATAGACAAACATGTAAATAACATTGTCTAAGTAAAAAGATAAATTACATAGTTTAGGCAAACATGTAAATTACATAGCCTAGATAAACAAGTAGATTGTATAATACAAGCAAACATGTAAATTACATTGTCTAGATAAAAAGATAAATTACATAGTTTAGGTAAACATGTAAATTACATAGCCTAGATAAACAAGTAGATTGTATAATACAAGCATACATGTAAATTACATTGTCTAGATAAAAAGATAAATTACATAGTTTAGACAAACATGTAAATTACATAGCCTAGATAAACAAGTAGATTGTATAATACAAGCATACATGTAAATTACATTGTCTAAATAAAAAGATAAATTACATAGTTTAGGCAAACATGTAAATTACATAGCCTAGATAAACAAATACATTGTATAATACAAGCATACATGTAAATTACATTGTCTAGATAAAAAGATAAATTACATAGTTTAGACAAACATGTAAATTGTATAGTAAAGGCAAACATGTAAATTACATAGTCTAGATAAACATGTAGATTGCATAACTTAGGTAAATTACATTGTCTGGATAAAATGATGAATTGCGTAGTTTAGGAAAACATTTAAAATGTAACATATAAGTAAACACGTGAATTACATATTATAAGTAATCGAGTAAATTGCATAGTATTATGTTGATTACGTTGTATATGTGTAAATGAAATAGGAAGATAAACACGAATACTGACACAAATGTATGTATTTCTAATTTTGCTTTCAAAGCCAAAATGCCTAACTTATCCTTTATAGTTGATATTAATAGATATCAATTAAATATCATTGCTGTTTTTAAAGTTGAGAATTAGCATTAGTGTCTTGCTTTAAGATTCATACTTTTTAATTATGTTAGTTGCGTGCACTTTAGAACTGTTGTGTGTCAGTTACTTATAGTAAGACGTGGTTATTGTTTTATAATCCACACTTATAATTGAGTGCTTAATATTCAAGGTAAAGTATGAGATTGCACTGCTATATCAGAAACTAATGTTTTAAAGCACACGTATCAAAAATTTTACATGCACGCTTTAATATGTCATCTCCCTTTGAAGTGCAAGAATAACATTCTCATTGTTTCCTTGCTAAAGGATCGAAGGAATTAAACACCTTGTTATTAAACTAGATACACTAGTTTGCCCTCTCGAATTTGTTTCAATAATAGAAACACCAATCATTATATGGTTGGTGTCGTCAAAGTAACAGAAGACGTTTACTTTTCCGGAATTCCTGGTCTTTATTCTCCTTGTACTTTTCAGGAGTCTCAGTGTAAATCTTTCTTTTGTTCCTCTGTTTGTTTATAATGTTTTGCCATATCAGCATTTTCTTTTTATATGTTTACGGATTGAAGAATGGGATAGATTTATTGGAAGACATATTGTTTGTGATATAATTTTAGACGTTAAATGATGATGAAGGGGAAAGGTTTTTAAGAATATCGACATATTATTATTTTGTAGGCCCATACAACTGTACAAAAGAACGATATCAATATAAATTCAGTCGAGGTAATTAGTTATGTAATCAGGCCTATATCCCTTGAAAGGTCTCTTTCCTTCAATTCAAAATAATCAAATTTCGTCCTCTTCTATTATGTTGATCTTACATTCTTGGCAAACAAAGGATTGCTTTGAGTTTTCTATCATTTCTTTCTAATGTTCTTGGATGTAGTATAATTCTTTGAATCTTTAATCAATAAAAATTAAATATTGAAATAAAAAATTTCGGGGGGTGGGGGGTGGGGTGGGTGGGGGGGGGGAGACAAATCTGGGGTTGCACCTTTATCTTGACAACTACAGTTACTCGGTTACAAAGAAATCAGCATAAAGATACTCAGCGTAGAAAATCTGTTCAAATAGTCGTTTATAATTTTTACTATAAACTAAATAAAACATCCTTGGGGAAATATTGAAACTTACGTTAAGTGAATAATTATCGATATACTACGAAAACGTTTCTTACACGAAAAAAATGAGATTTCAGTTATGTAACTGTAGTGTATAGTTAGAACTATGTACTTCTTTGTTAAAGTTTGGCATTTACCATGACATGCAATGATATGAATACTTGGAAAGATCGGCTTCTAGAAAATGTGTCAATATTTCATATTTTAAATGAAGATAATTACAATGTACGGAAGCCCTGATATCAGCTACGGAAGCCCTGATATCAGCTAAATGTCAACTTACCTGGTAAGTCTGCATAACATCAATATAAGCAAATGAGGTAAAACAAGCATGTAGCACGCAAAATATTGTCCATTATAAAAAAACGACAGTCTGCTGCCACGGTGATATATCTAGTTTTGAGTGAATTGTGTTAGTCATATTTTGAATTGACATGCACTATTAGATAGTGATGTGACAAAACTTCATCACATACTACGTTTGTAATCCAATAAGATCACAATTTTTATATATCCTAGAGTGTTTCGCATTTGCTGCGCCAGTCTAAAATTGATTAATATGTAAAAAAAATATATACAATTTCGTTATGCCATGAATTTAAAGTGGTATAACAAAGTGGCTGCCTCAATATGATTTTGTTCTCGCATTTTACTTAGCAACCTGTCAAAATTTTCTGCGTTATAAGGTCAAACTCCAAACTTCTACATGTTAAATTCGTTTCGAATTCTCTGAATAAAAACTCAATAGGGATCCCATTTCAACATCGGACATACTATTACTACTACACAAATATTCTCAAGACAGACATAACTAGACCAATATAGTAAACACTTATTTAAATAACTCATAATGCCTTGCCAATTACACAACCCATAATATATATGCAAAATAAATTAGGAAAAGATCGAAAAATGACAATAGTAAAAACAAAAGAATTACGGGACAAGATTGAAAAAAACAGTATTCTAATCCAAGCTAGAAAAAGCTGAGGGACAAAGGCAGCGAAAATAAGGACAAATTTCAATACAAAAAGAAAAATTGATGTATAACTAACAGGCTTATGTTATGTTAAAGTACATGGCCATGCAACATATGGAGTGTTGATTCAAGCAGGGTCGTATCACAAAAGGCATATACGAATGTACACATTGCGTGTAACGACCCGGCAAGATATAAAATGATAATGGACACATCCACTGAAAAAAATCTAAATCATTCGGGAATAGCCAGCACGATATCCACAAATCGGGATGTACAATGTATCTACAGTCAGTTGTGCCGTGTTCAGTTTCAGTACGATAAACTATACAATGTCTTAGATAGCATGTTCTGTTAAAGGAAAATAAGAAACTGATAGCTTAAAGAAAGCTGATGAAGTGGAAGAAAAGGGCATACTTCACTACCAATCGTCTACGAAAGTTGTTACATTTCTGGTTATATAAGTAGAGGGAATACATGTGAATTAGAAGTTCTATTTCTATCGTGTTGTTATTTACTCTGTTGGGTAGAGGCAGAAGGAGATTGGGTACTGGTAGTAGAAGTTGTCGTGGAGGACTGGGTACTGGTGGTGCTAGATGTCGTGGAGGTTTGTGTAACCGATCCACCAGAGCTGTCACCATCTGAAATTGTAATTCGATCAACTTTCTCTTGTTTCCAATTAAAAAAGTGATTTCAAATAGTTTCCCAATTGAGAGATTGAAACAGTATAAACGTTTAAGAACTTATTGTCCGCTGTTTTCCCACATGCTTGTTTAAGTGGGTTTTTTTAATTTATTCTTGCATCTGTTTTTGACAGAGTCACGCATTTTCAACGTTCGTTTACATATCCTGTCATAATGGTAATACATCCTTACGGATAGCACAAAACGAGACGGATACAATGTTAACAAATCCAAATAATTGATAACAAAACTGAAAAAAAACTGAAAAAAAGTTTTTAAAAAAATAAGAGGTCAATATTCTAGTATGTAAACCTATATATTGCTAATCCTAATCTTTTATCTTTCAGTCAAGGAAATTAATAATTTTTGCGTTAATTAACTGCGATATTTTATAATCCATTTGTTTTTGAAGTTTAGAAAATATCTGATTAATTAATTTTCCTATTAATATGTGAAATAACAACAAATGTAACATCCAAATTATCCTGTACAAACAATGGATTTCAACAAATTGCATTTGAAATAATTAGACCTATGTTCCGTTAATAAAAGTTTGCTTTTTGTCAAAAATAACGTGGACCTCTTTAAATCGAGCAATAGTCGTTTGGATTAAAATAGAGTTCAACTCGCATTCAGTTTAAAACTCTTTTCCTGAAATGTAATTGTTTCCGCTTCAATACGTCAAACCATGACAAATAAGGTCATATGTAAGTCTTTTATTGCATACAATTAATTATTATGTTAATCTCACTTGTGCACTTGTCGAACAAAACCTAATTTCGTAAATGTGTCGATTATCTAACAATCGCTGAAATTAGCTTTGTGTAAATCGAGTTGCAACAGTGCCTTGTGTGAAACAGTTTCAGATGTCTACATGTACATGCCGAATCACATACATAAAGTTGGATGACGAAATAGGACTTATTGCAGTCGCAAGGTCGCCATATACCATAATGAAGTTTGGGTGTGAATGAGTTGATGAAAGGAATAGTAGGATATGCCGTTGTTACATTTCAACACATAATTACACGAACAGAAGACATGGGATTACCACATTCATTGTTTGATATACCATGCAAGGAAACATATATTTCTTGATATTACTATGCATATATATTGGAGTAATTCTTCATATGAAATATTGTTGGAATATTTAATATCCAATTCTTCATTAATCAAGGTCGCTTCTAAGTGAAACTTTGCAATAATTTGAACTCGCAAATTGATATCAACAGAAATGAAATACTCAAACGTTGAAGACAAAAATGACAATATTTGCTCCTCAAGTCAACAATATCAATAAATGAATGAACAATGACCCGCTATGTTTTGGAGAATAACTAAATACATGTAAAGTATATTTTAAAATTCGCCATGCATGAATGATACTCATTTCTCGCTAATTCGACAATCTTAGCAATATATCTGATATTTAAAACGAAAACGTCTTTAGCAATTGTTCATTGTATTTGATTCCACTTAATGCCTTATTTTTGATTGGTTTGTATGTATCAAGAGCAATGTAAACGTACACCCAAAGCAGCAAGGATTCAGTGCATCGTAGTTTTTTTGCAGGCTCTGTACTTACGCGGGCAGGTTTGACACATAAGTGGACAATCAGTGGGCAGATTTGCAAAGTCAGGACAGCGAGATGCTACAAAATTCGGCGGAGTACCACATCCACTGGGATCAGAGGCCAAACCGGTACAATTAACTACAATCCGTAAAACAGTGCTCAATATTCATCATATTTAATAATTTGATTATGATTATCAAAACTGAAGCAAAATTTGCATTCTTGTTAAAATCAAGTGATTTTGAATTTACTGGTATTTTCCTCTTGCTTTATAATCAAGCTTAAATAACACAAGTAATGAAATGCCTTTGTTACTAACAATAGCACCTAGAATAGTAAGGGTTAAGTTATATATCACAATGATATATATTTAATATCAAGGTGTTTCTAAAGATTACGCCAAACATTTCATTTTGAGAGAATAATACAAAACATGTTAGGTTTTAATTAGATTCTTGAATATCGCTTGTACACTTAGAATGAACGTAAATACGAAAGGAGGGGTGTGAATTGGTGTGTGCATATTAACGTTTCAAAGGTAAATATTATGCAAACCAGTGTAATAAAAAGAATACAATATTTTTAAAAATCATTCTCATACAAAAATGTTATATTAGCACTCTTTCGACTGTAATGATGTATGCAAAATTTTAGGATAAGTTTGGGAATTTTACTCGTGCGAATAAGGAGTCTTTTATATACCACTCAAACCCCTAACGTCAAAATTAAAATATAAAACATTGAATAAAATCGAAAAAAAATATAAATATAATATTGATATGAAGTAACATCAAACTTAGAGACCACTATCTCCCAAATAAGTGGTTACCTGTAGAGTTATAAGCGAAACGTTAACGCCTACAAATAAAACCAATATCATTGTTGCATTTTGAAATAAAAAATTTGATTGTTGAACAATACCTTGTCAAATTTACATTGAGAGAATGTATTCAGTAAGCACAATGTATTTTTTCTGTCGTCGAATTGGTTATATGTCTTTTGGCCAAACAAAACTTTATTTGAAAAAATCAACAACTTGTGGACAAAGATAATTATAAACGGAAGTGTTAAAAGTTGTTCTCATCATAAGATCAAAATTATATAGATTTACAGACAGACGTATTTATCTTTATGGTTATTTGTACATTAAATTTATTCCCCGAACACTTATCATTGCTGTTTAAATGAACACATTCAATTACGAATAAAATCAGAGAGATATGTTTAAAACGAGAAACAATTATTAAGGTTTTGATGCCATTTATTAATTTTCATCTGAACTACTCACGTGCGCAGTTGTTTCCGACAAGGTAGGGCTTGTTGCATGTACATCCACATGTATTTATGTCCATGGGCGCACGATTAAGGCACACCTTCCCACCGCAGTCTGTCAGAAAATGACTTAGGATGTTAGCATAGCAATATATATACTGAGAGAAAACAGAAACGCAATTAGAAATTTCCAGGTCAACTACGGGAAATATAAAAGGGTTTTAGAATGTAATTATGGTGTAACTTGAAGATAGTTGACCACTACGAGAATTTCATTTGTGTACGTTATGTGAACCTTTCAAATTTGACGTTGATTCAAGAGTACTTCACTCAAAATGAAGTGCGTTCTGGACCCATCAATATCGTGTCTGCCCCCGCGAGCTGCAGTAACTGCACAAACTCTTTTGTGCATTGAATTGATCGGGGTATCAACCCTCCACATTGGTATACGATTACATTCCTCATCCAGCGCCAACGCCAACTGAGCGACGTTAATTGGAGGATTCGGCCTACGTCTTATCTTTCTGTCCAACTCGTCCCATAAATGTTCTATTGGGGAGAGGTCATGGCTGTATGGGGCCAGTCTAGGGCGGTGACATTCTTTGCTGCGAGATAACCACGGCAAACCTTCGTTACATGCGGCCTGGCGTTGTCCTGCTGAAACGTCAGTCGACGTTGCTGTACTAGAGGAACAACATGCGGACGGCCGTGAGATTTCCCTGAATAACGACCAGAGGAATCTTGATACCATGCGCAATTCCTCCCCATACCATGACCGATCCTCCTCCAAAGCTGTCATTCTCTATCACACAATCATCTGCATAGCGCTCGTAGGTACGTCTATAGACACGACGTCGGCCGTCTGTCCGGTAAAGCGAAAACCTTGACTCATCTGAGAACAGAACCCTTCTCCAACATTGCATTGGGAAGCGTCTTACGGAATGTGCGTTCAGCCATTGCATTCGTCTGGCACGTCGCTGCGCATTAAGCTGTGGTCCAACATATGGCCGCCGCGGTCTTAGACCGAAGGCACGCAGCCGATTACGCACTGTCTTTGGATCAATTGGAACATGATGACGCCCAATTGTGTTCCTTGCTGTTTCCGTTGCCGTCAGAAAGCGATTGCGTAGGTGCGAAAGTCGCATTGCCCTATTCTGCCGACGCGTCGTCACACGAGGGTGACTGCTTGGGAACGGTCTGCAACCCTTCCGGTGGCATGTAGTCTTTGGATGAGACGGCAAATGTTAGATTGATGGACTCCAAATTGATTAGCGACCTGATTTTGCGGGGTACCTTGCATAAGAAGTGCAATGGCACGACCCCTGTCAACTTCGGACAGTCGTGGCATTTTTTACGGTGAACTGTTATTAAGAATTTTGAACCTTTCCTTTATACCGGGTTCGAGATATCGTGCTTTTGTCTCTTATTCTTTTGTACAAGCGGTGTGCGCAGTTTAGTTATGCATCAGTAATTTTAATACGGTACCATGGGGACCTAATTCAAATGTACACATTTGTCAAGTTTCAAGGGTGTACGTCAAAGATTTAATTTACAATATTAACTTTCTGCTAGTTGCGTTTCTTTTTCCTCTCAGTATATATATACTTAAATATTGATACAATGCTTTTTCCTCTCAGTATATATATACTTAAATATTGATACAATGCTAGAGTGTTGAAAGGTAGTTTTGGAGGCTATGATTGCGTGTCCGGTGAATTATCCATTGAATCAGCGCAATTCATTACTGTCAGTTGTTATACATGCAATATGGTGTAGGGTTTAGTTATGTGTTGATAAGATAACACAACCCATTGTTCGGAAATATTCTTCAATTGAGAACAGACTCTTACATTAGGAATTACATTTTGGAAGAATATGCCTGACATTAACACAACGAAGAAAAAAACAAGAAACACAGTTTGACAGTTATATATCAAAAATACACAAAGTTTTATAAGAATATGCTTGACATTTCACAGCGAAATACCAAACAAAAAAACATAGTATGCCAGTCATATATTAAAAATACATCAGAGGTTTTACTTCCGTTTCATCTGAATTAAATAAATATTGAAGCTGAGATCGATCCCTCCTCCTATCTTAAAGAATGTATCAGTTATGAATTATTGTGTATTAATAGTCATACACCGACTGCTGTTCTAACATAAAAATATGGTGTTACTCTATCGTGTAATTGTTTGTCCCATCCTTTGTTCTCATTCTGATCTTATAATACCAATGATATTTTCCGCACAAAAGTCACATTGGCCTTGGTAAACTGTATATCTATTTTGCAGAAAGAAACATGTACAAAGTGAGTATGCATGTTAAAAATAATGTACAGGTGTCTGTATTCATGAACAGGATATTAAGTGCCATTTTGCATTTTGAACACTTGCATTCATTGAATAGACGATGCTGTTAGTCTGATGGTAGTTAGGTATCTTTAAATGATTTAAATATTACAATAATGGAAGTAAGGTTTTGTTTGTTACAAGTCTTCGTTAATATGATGCTCCATTTTTGGAAGACGGGCCGAGCGAACTGACCAAGCAGACACGAGATTACTTTGCAGTCAAAGAAGACGCATAACCGTAATCCTACGAACATTAATTTACGATGAATCGATAAAAATATCAAAATGACAATGAACTGTCGTCGGACTGTCGGAAAATGAAATCAAAATAAAAAAATCCGATGAATCAAAAACAACGTTTGTGTAAATGCAATTATCAATACAAAGACATTTAAGGAAACGTAGCACCTTAAGGAAGACTTGCATCGATTATTTAGATGTCAATAGTATGTTTTCAGGTAGCATGAGAAGTTAAATTGTCAAAGTTATATTAATTATATATATATATATATATTAAGACTGATTTAATTATTTGACCTGGGGTCGATAAAAACATCCCATGGACCTCATCCGCAAGCTATAATTGTATCATATTGCTTGGGCGTTCATATTTTTATTAAGTCAAATCGAATACATTTTCGTGCGAAACTCTCGTGTTTTGGAAGAAATGAAAATATTTCAAGCTGCAATATTTCCTTACAAAGAACAAATAAAAGTAAATTTGATAAAAAGCATACCACATAGCTTGTTGTTACAAGAAGTCGGACAGTCAGCACAAGAATTTCCGGATCTGTACGGATTATTGTAATCGAAATTTCCTCTGAAAGAAGAAAAAAAAGTTACGCAATGTATTTCATATCTAATACAGCTGTTGAGGCAGTCTGAAGGCAAAGTTTCGATATAACATTAAACCTGAAACAAACTATATAAAGCCCGAAATATCTGGTTAAGCGGTACCCATGTTCACTTGTTACCGCTGTATTTCTAAATAGTTTGGTTTAGTGCATTCTCGCAACACAAACACCAAACGAAATATCTAGCACAGAATTAACCCAGGTTCACCTGTTAATATTGTAATTCTTTTGTTTGTTTGTATCATTACATTCTCGCCTCCCAAAGATAAACGAACTAAACAATCCAGCGTTACCAGATACATTCGGCCACGTTCCTATACTCAGTAGGATGAAAAAACTTCCCCGTTCTGAGGAGAGATTACCATTGCAGGATGTAACAACAAACTTGTGCTTATTTCTTATGTTCGAAGGTGCTGTTTGTTAATATATGTGTATGTACATATTAGAAACCCCTGTGCCTGCAACTACATTTTATTCCATTTGATAAAACAACTCTTCACAATTCCGTCTAAATGTGTATATAATTTTGACTAAATCAAATTGTCATTTAATACAAGACAGCCTCTGCAAAATAATGCGCCATTTTCAAGAACACTGGACCTATTAATTTCATAAGAGACAATACAGATTTTTTTTTCAGTTCTAATTTTTAATATCAACCTTCATTACAATAAGATGCAATAGAAAACTTACGCTGGCGAGTAATTGCACACATAATAGTTTGAACCGGAGCAGACCGCAAAACCGCAGCCAATTTTGGATGTTTCAGCCCAGACAATCTGTTGAATCATAAAAATCATAAAATATCAAATTGTAGATAGCATAAAAACTGAATACCTTGGAGAGCAAGAGTTTGGTCTTCACAAGGATTGTCTAGGGTCGAGAAACCCCTGTCCAAACAACAGACCAATGTGAGATTTTATTCACAATACTTGTGGTACTTTCCATGGTCTTAAAGGTATTCAGTCTTAATCCATGTTTGAATATATTTGTCACATACATTAAAAAACAAGTAACAAATTGCAAGTTGTTTTGAAACCTTTCTCTCGCGCTCTCATCAATGACGCAAGAAATACTTGCGTGAGATACCATATACCTACCAACCACGGGATCACATTGTGATGTATGTGAGAAATAAGGTTTCTAACAGGATATCTAATTGTTGTATTCGAGAAGATATTACTTAACATCTCAAGCAAGATTCGTGTAAGCATCAAATTTTCAACAGTAGCGAAATGAAATGACTGGCAATTGATACTCTGTAAACCATTATTTTCTAATCAAACAGAATAATATGTTAAATATTGAGACATGTCTAGAAGCGTGTCATCTTTAGTCGATCAGAATTAATTTTGGAAGATTTTAAATTGAAGCTTCCAAACCCTTAATTTTATAGAAGTTGTCTCCCTTGATCCTTGTGTTCGTGTCGAAACTATTCTGTTCTTCAAATAAAGTTTCAAAGGCAAAATGAACTTACCAATACTACAAAATGATTCAATAAGTAAATACTGTTTACACTAAAGGTATTATTTTGTCAAGTTGGATCACTATAAAGTGAAGGTTAATCATTCAGAATTTTTTGCAAATAGTAAAAAAAGGTGTCTCTTGTACAAAGATTTTTGGAACATTTTCGTCGGGTTAGTAATGTCAATAGAATTGTTCTTATAACAAAACACGATGATTATAGGTCAACCTGACAGATGACTACATGTACAGTAATTCTTCGACAATGTATTGACAAATCTCCATATCCGTGGTAACTTTCAAATTGTCATAGAGGACAACTGGGGCAGCGAGAGTAACCTCAAGTGAAGGTCCTACGTACGTTATTCGACTCATAACCCTATTTTCCTTCTAAGGAAGTTGAGTGAGAAACGGAACGATTTGTGCTGGCGTGGTTGTGTTCTTAAGCAAAACATTTTATCCCAGTGGTTTTGGATGACATTAGACAAGCCAATGTCGAATGACATGAAATGGAAGATTTAAGAAATTTCATTGAAATGTTGCACATCTTACACTTTTTCACTTTACTTGCCTTCTAGATTTTCAAATATTATGTCCCTAATATCACTGACGAGCCCTGAAGTGACGAACCAGTCGGGCATGACGTATATATTAATGTGTTTTGAATCATGTTATTGATTTACATATGTCCTGTGTAATGCAACATAAACAACGGACTTCATTGACAAGTTTATCTTAGTGGAGAATGAAATAATCTTAAGTAAGCGCTCTGAAATCAAAATTCCCTCTACGTATAGATATAAACATCAAAGACGCAGATTATAACAGTAGTTCTGTTGAAGGTAGAAATATATATATAGGACGTACCTGTGTGTAATGGCCGACATCAGAGAAGACATTACTCCCTCCCAACGTAAAATCAGACACTTCGCTATGCCAGGCGTTCATCGCAGCTGTCCAAGAAGCATGGCCAGATGCGATATTCTGTCCAACGGAAAATCGTCCTGGAATGTCAGTTCACAATGTGATTCACCCAGGCGGAAGCTAATAACGGTTGTAGTAAACATTGGTTCAAATGATTTCAAAAGTTTGTTTTGTTGGCACTAAACCTAACCTTCAGTTATTGATAGGGGTTTCTTTTCTTTTCTTTTCTTCGCACACACGTAACAAGAAACGTACATATATACCATCTGAAATAGTCGAGGAGATTTAAGAGGTTACTCATGTTTTAGATCCGTGGTAATTAAATTCATATTAATTGAACATCTATACTACAAAGGTCACCTGTACATAAAGAGCTTTTTCTCTGCTCCCTTTGATGTCCTTTAAGGACAGGTTAGTCTATATTTCATGAACCCTTTGTACCCCGTATCTTTGCCATTGTTCCACAACCCTGTTTGTCACTCTAAAATACCTGGTATGTATCGACTATAACCATCATCGTGTCCATACTGACAATACTCCGCCCATTTCTGTGCTATCATCGCAACTTCATCATCCCAACTCTGTAAAAAAGTTAAGATTTATCACAGTTGGTTTTTTGTACATTTCCTAGATATCTACTATCAATTAGGGATACAATACGATACATATTATTCCAAGTAAAAGATCACGAATTTGACAATTCTTATTTACTACACACTTACCAATTCTAAAATCTTCATTTTACCTGTCAATTGGGATTAATCGAAGAAGCTACTTTTTACAACATTCAAACAAGGTTTTGCTATTATAACAAAGAAGAAAAACGTCTTAAACAGCAGAAAACAAATACTCTTGACTTCATTATGAAAATATCTGTCAGAATCAATGTGGGACCAAAATGACCCAATTAACACAATATTCCATTTAACCATTCATGTTCTACAATACATATGTGTGAGAGTCTTTTTAATCAGCTCTCATTTTAAGATAGTCGCAATGGTACCATTTGCCTCATGTTAGTCGCTGTTGGTGATACAGAGCTGCGGAAGGTGTTGTGAGTGTTTACTATCAAAGTCTGGTCACTTGCAGAAACACCTGTAACAAAGAGAAAAATTAATTAATTGTAAATAAAGTCTATGATACAGGAGTATTTGAATGTTTTCTTGTCAATGAATTGTGGTGACCGAACGCTTCCTTTTTCATTGTGTTAAAATATCACATCAAATCACATCAAATCAAGAGGAATGAACATTTGCCCCAGGTCTCATTGACGAGATAAGAGTGTTTTTATATATATATTTTTTCCTTGGCAGAAGCATATTGGGTGTCTATGTTTATGGCTGTTCAAGTTTACATACAAGTTCACTTTGACTTTGTTATACAGAAAAAATAAAAATAATATGTGAAAGCAGTATGATATTGTATTGTTACTCCTTGGTGTAGAAATAGATGTAGAATAGTCTGCATCTGCATCATTAAATAAGGTTTGAGAAGACAATCTATGAAGTACGACTATCAACGATAGCTTTGCGCCCAAACTATCAGCTCCAAGAAGGATAAACTCATTAGTATCTGGATACTCCATGTTGAAACGACTTGTCGGAAATAGGTATCGACAAAAACGTTTTCCCTTAAGACAGCTTTGGTAGTTTGTCGGTAGAGCATTGAAATGTTTGATATTAGCTGAAGAACTTGATGGGTACATTTCATAGGTACGATAAACTACTCAGGGCCATTTGTTTCCCTGAAAACGCTAAGGAAAGGAATGTTGTATTCTATAATGTTTATGTCTTTCGACAGGACATTTAACTCTAATTGTTCTAGCGAGGGAGTTCCCTTATATCGTAGCTTGTCTACCAACTTCTAAAGGGATAACCATTCCCCCTCAACATAACTCTGATCTCTATAAAATGGATTGCCTCCAGATGAGGATGCCGAATTGTAGATACAGGAGGTATGAACACTGATACATCGCTTACGAAATGATTCTAAACATGCTTTACTTACCAGCGGATGTTGCTGTGTTCGACGCGCTGAGACAGGCGGTATGGCTGGGTATGTGATAGAACTTAGCATCGCAGTTCTGGAGGGACATCCAAATAAAACAATGTTGTGAATCAAGGATGTGATCATGTGAACTAAATCACATAGAAATAAAATGTCGTTTGATCAATTCCGCGACAAAAATAATCCTTACATTTCTTTCAGATTTGTTAACCTTATGATAATAATTGATACTGGTGTTATTATTTGCGCGTTAACGAAAACGAAATGTAAAGAATTGCGAAAATATTCCGCCGCCACAAAGGACAAGAATTAGTGGCCGCTGACCCTATAGATGTTCTGCCTCTAAAGGAAACTTAAGGTAGGCAGGTCGGCGTTTATATAATGAAAGAAAATATCTCCCTTACAGTGGATCGCTTGAATCTCCTGAAAGAATCTGTCTTGTCAGCACTAGATGATAAGGATACTGGAAAAAAAATATCAGAATAAAGCACGAACGGATATCAACAATATGTACTCTACTATGTGAAATGTGCAATAAATTTAAAGATAATTTAAAGAAGATTTTACTATACCTAACAGATGTGACGAACATACGATTTTTCAGGTTAACATGTTTACATTATCTATCATCAACATTTGTGTTGTTTACGTAATACGTCATCAATAATTGTGATGTTTACGGAATAAGTCATCAATAATTGTGATGTTTACGGAATACGTCATCAACATTCATTATTGCAACTTTGTTCGAGGTCATATGATGACGTGGAAAACAAAATTGAGATAAATCTATGGCAAGTAAAAAATAATATGCTAGTTAATAGAATTTCGAACCACTGTCTAGTCACTATATGTATTACGTTTGATATAATTAGTAAGGAACACAGGTGTTTGTATTGATCAATAATTAAGGACATGCAGATAAAGTGTTAGAGTTTGACGAATATATGTACTGCACTTGTAGAATTGTAAAATAAGAACAAACATTAAACATCAATACTGAATAAATATTCACATGGGGGTAACATATTTGCGCTTTGTTATTAGGTGTAAAACAGATGAAATAGCGCAACAGGCATCAGACGGCACAGTGAAAGAGCACAATTTAAGCAGGCATAAGAGGGTTTTAGCACAGATGTTTGAATTAAAGCTGTTTTTATTTAAGGTCTTTATACGTTTGGTTACAAAAGGCAAAAAACGTTTTATTTTTTCACGATTATTTGTTTACTACGACCGCCTGCTACGATCGTCGTTTCTATGTGATGTGTCAAATCAAAGCCTTACATCATACCTATATTGTAAAAAAAGAAATACACCCACCAGGAAAATTTAATTGCAGACTCAATAAAAGTCTTTTCACCACCAGGTGTTAAAAGTATTGAAATAGAAATGACTTTGTTGAAGGTTTACATGTCGTAAGGGTAAACACCATCAAATACTCGTTAGAACGCATTAATACTCCAGAAAATACATCACAGTTGCAAATTAGGAACAAGACCATATTCTAACACTTTTCATTTTTACCGTTATATACAAATTTTACATATATTATTCCGAGTAGATATAATTTATTAAGATCACAACACTTGGCAGATACAGAGATTGGTTTCGTCCAAAGGCAAATCGTTATCATATACCGAAGCGAAATTGTGTGTTGAAGGAGTGACTGTGACTAAATTGAATTGTGTTGTATCATTTAAAAATGATTAGTGAATAAAAAGGTTCGTGATAGAGAAAAAGGTATCACGTGATCTAACTATTAATATTCCAATATATTGCAAATACGTGTAAACAAATATCTTTAATAGACAAATTCTCAATAGAAATATAAAATAGATCAATTTATTCATAAAGCTCATTTATTAACACTGTTAATGATGGCGGAATAAATCACTTAGAAACTTCTATGCATATGATGTAATCAAATAAATATTCAAAGGCTTGGTACACTTCACTTACCTGTGTTTTACATAAACATTATGTACAAATTAGTTTTGTTATCGTGTGCATCACTCATTACATTTAACGGGGTTTTAAATACGTTACAAGAACTGTTCAAAGCAAACATTAAAGACGGTTTTCTGTAAACATCATGTAAAACAGAAATTAAACTAAGACTGAGTATAGTGGGCTAGTTTTCCTTGTGTTTAATCATTTAACATTAATTATAAACACATTTTTGACAAGAAACCTATAATGATAGTTGAAGTATGAAATGGTGAACATATACCGTTAAAGTATTACATCGGTATATTGTGAGTGAAATATTGAAAAGTAACGATATCTTTTCTTCTTTATTTGGTAATTAACATCAGTTCACACAATGATTCTAAAGCAAAAACTAACCAAAGGTGACATCATTTACCGATGAAGAGTTTTAATTTTCCCACAGAAATGTCACGAAGTTTCAGCTAAGTAGTTAATGCATATTTCCAATCATTATAAATACAGAAGTGGAACTTCAGGGATTGATAATTGTTCGAGCTGGTAAGTTAATGAAACCTGATTTAATGTCTGTAATTATTGTAAACTAGATATCCATGAAAACTGTAAGATTTATTAAGAAGTAAGTAAATTATTGCATCTACAAAAAATAGAGATTTTACTTCATTTTCTTTCTATGTTATCAGACATCACCTCAATTTAATCTGTTATCCTGATAACCTTCGATTATCCAATGTTACTTGGCGTATATTTATGCAGGTTTGTTCATCTTTGAAGTACATACTATATGAAAGTTTCAAAAATTATAAACCTTAATAAATGGGGCTACATTTTCATAGTGGCCTATTATCTGTTTCAAGTTTCAATTTGCTATACATTCCCGTGAAATATGCGTGTAGCGCAGGTGTAAAGGAGAGCTCAATCGACAAAAGACATACCTAGACAGCGATATTGAATATAACTCATATTCACGGACGCCGAACACGATATGGTATATAGGTGACACGCCCACACCCGTGACCTAGGACATATAGATGGCCAGGTGTTGATTTCAGAGTCAATACAGCTTTCTACTTAAGGGAAAACCATCGACAGTTTTATACTAGTCAAATGACTAGTGGAATGTGTGATGATGACATTTGAAAATGCCCGTCTGAGAAAGTCAACTCAACACTTTACAAGTATAATTAATCTTGGATTATCTTCGATTATAAAGTTTTGTGTCATTGACGTAAATATATGATGTTATCGTATGATATAATTGTACACTGTACAAACAATAGCAAAGATAATATCAAAACGTCTTAATTCACACTAAAAGTTGATAGAATTACGACATGATATATACAAAAATAAAACATTTTACACGGACGGCGACTCGTTAAAAAGGACACCAAAGTTAAGACAAGGTGTTCCGGAAGGGCAAGCGTCTCCTGCCTTAGCAACGGCGTCCGTCATGTAAATCAATCCAAGTAAGCAATGCCCCGTTCCTAATTGAGAAGAAGATAAACAACGAAACCACCAAATTTACAAGCGAACATCGAATATTCCGAATGAGAACAACAGGACGACGGTAAAACTTCATAATCTTTCTCAATCTCTCGAAATCCTGTTTAGCAAGTGTATTTGTAATTTATCGACATCCTCCGCTAAACTATCATATTGGCAACAAGTCATTTTCTATCAAATCAAATGCAGCATGTAACCATCATGTAGGTAGGTGTCAAATACGGAGAGAATATTACAGATAATTCTTAATTGAAAATAAAATGATTAAAACTTTCACATTTTTCTATATTAGTATTATAGAACAAATTGTCCCGCGGTGGATTACGCTTGTTCCAGGTCAACTGTTTACTGACACTATCGTACTGAACCCTATATGCAACAGTTTCATCGCTGACCACCTAAGTAGAGGGGAGTATAAACTCAGAGGTCAAGAGTCAAGAAACAAGCAGCTTTATCTGACGTCGAATAAGGTAAACAATAAAACGTTTCCACTGCAGTGATATTTACGTGACAAACCTAAGCATAAAACATCGCATTATATACAAAACAATGATGTTCACTACTTATGTAATGAAAAAATATCACAAAGAGTTATCTCAGAGTTACACGATTAATAATGGGTACTTGTGTATCACACAAGGGTCACAAAAAAAAGTTAAAACACTATCAAAGTGTAACAGCAAATTATAACAATTAACAGAATATAAAATAATGTAGTGTGCTTATAAAGTGGATCATCAGGTCAGTAGAAATAAAAAAAAAACAGAATACATTCCGATAATTAAAATCAAATATCATAAGAAGTGGGGAGAATTTTTTTTTTTTTTTTTTTTTTGATAATTGATTACGTAGAAATATGAAATACTTCTGAGCATAGGCCTGGACGACCTTGATTACCCAAGTTCAACTTCTATTTTAATTATGTGTTGTCATATAGCACGGACAAAATTTCAATGTACACTATTGACGTGTTTAACAATGAGTCGATAACTCGTCAAATATTTCAGAAATCAACTAATACCAAATCTTAAAATTATCATTTGAGTTTACGTGAAAACAAGCTTTTTCTTTTCAATTTTTAATGTTCCCACTTGAAAACGACACATGGAAAACAACAAAGAAAAAACACCACATAGAAGAAATGAATGACACTTTTACAAATCTAAAATAAAATACATTAAGAGACAAATTATGCATAAAACTGCATTGTACAGCTTACGTATTTCTCAACACTGTAAAATATCTTATATTAGTTTTTACGTTCACTTTGGTTGTCTGGAATAAAAGAGAAGACCGAAACAGCAAGCCTGGGAATATATGTGATGTGGGAGTATTACGCTATCATGCACTTAACTTGAATGCACTAAACTTAATCAGTGATGTACATATATCATTATATGCCATTGAATTTTATTAATCTCGACAGCACAATAAAATGCAAAAAAAAATGCAAAAATCAAATTAAAATATTTATTTTAATCTTATTTCTTGTTTAATAAAATTATCTCCGTTCAACTTTTCAAATGATAAGTTAGATATGCACTAACAGCATAATTATATTACAAAATGTTATTACTTTTCACCCGTTGATAACGTATTAAGTTTCGCGACGTGTCATCTGTTAGAAAAATAAATGTAGACCTAGTACAGATATTGGTCCGTAAATAAAACGTTACAGAGACTCAGATTAATCAATAACTTGACAAGTCGCGCATGACTTACCGATGTTGGATGTATTTGTATATGGATTTGGAGCTTTGAAGGATTATGCAACTTATAATTCACAAACCAGCGTGAACGTATAATTCAAGAATCGGGGGTCAAGACCTCGCTAATGTATATCTAGAGAAATTAGAAAATATTCAGTGGATGGGGAAATTATAGCAACGTACACACCTATAATTGACTTGTCGCTGGGATTTCATCCTGTCGTTAACATTAAAATTCTATTTCGTCAGATTGCCTCTTTAGGTATAGAATCTATTATCATTTACTAACAAGTTTGACTTT